TTTAAAGTTCAAGGTCCAAGATGCTACTTACATAATAATTTAAAGTCTATAGTACTAATTAAAAATGATACATCAGTAAGGAATTACCATATCAACATTTTGATTGGGCCCTATTAAGTGAGCATAATAGCGTTAATGGTGAGTTAACAATGAAGTTTAATTTGCTATAAATTTAAAAATTAGGGTATATTTTGCACATTTAAGAGTTCAGGGGCCAAAACGCTTTTCGTACAATACTTCAGGGTCCATTTGGCTTATTAACTCTTAATTAAATTGTATTGAATTAATTATCATAGAAAATTGCCTATTGTATGAGTAGATATTTAATATTTTTGTTATTCAATTTGAACTCACTATCAGTATTTCGTTATTCTTTACACACAACACTTGATATATAGAGAGAGAGAGTATTGACATATTGCTTTACTTTACCAAAAAAATATTGATTTATTTTTTCACAACATTTCCTGATTTTTTTTTGCAACAGCAACATATAATGACAAATGAAAACGTATCTATAATTTAAGAATTTTTTTTAGTTATGTATATTCTTAAAATTAATATATAGATATATGGTATCTATTAATTTTTTTTTCAAGGAGTTTTTGTCAATATAACCCATATTATAGAACCAAACCAAACAAGCAGCCAACATTTATTATATCTTGTATTATAGTCAATTATTATATTTGTCAATGATATATCATTATATATTAATAATAAACTCCTTGCAAATTTTTAAATTTCAATGATAAAATTCCTTTATATCAATGTAAACCGCCACACTCCAAATTTTTAAAAATTTGATCAATATTTTTGGTGCACGAGATTTTTTTTTTTGGCCAATGAGCCAATTTATCCTTTTTTTTCAATTTTTTTGAAATACTTATGCAATTTTACTTGTAAATAATTATAATCTAATAATTTAATTAATTAAATTATTTTTAAGAATTAATATAAATTTATTTGTTTAAAAAAAAAATCCGCCACAACCCCCTCCCCCAAAGCTAGTTCTGCCCCTTAATTACTTCCTTACTCGATGTTCTTGACGGAAGTCATTGGGAACATCAAAAGAAAGGAAAAAAAAAAATTTGGAGTCTGAGAGATATTTGAAAGATGTTCATGCAAGATTGGGAGGTTATTTACGTTCACGTGTTTAGGAAAGTGAATACACAGACTGGCTTGTATTGATCTAAAAAATATGTGAATATAATAGCCAAATCAATTACCAATTGTTCACCAACATTGCTCTTTAATTTTTGGGACCTTTTATTTGACTGTTAGATTGGCAGATTCACGCGGCTAATCGACAAAGGAGTTTGTTGTACTTATGGGTCTTTTCAATGTAGAAAGTAAAATCCAAGAGCTTGATCAATAAATAAAGTTAAATCAAAATTAATAATGAAAACGAAACAGAATTCCTTGTAATTTTTTCTATTTACAATGTTCACCACGTTAGCAATACGTAAAAAATAATATTAAGTAAGCAATTATATTATGGGTGATGTAATAAGTTAAAAGACTCTATGTTCGAAAATACTTGTAAACAAAGCATAGAGGTTTACTATACTGCTTAAAGCATTATTGCAGCATATATATGTTTCACGCTGCTGACTACCCTTCAAAACTCTTCAAATTGAGATTGACTTCCATCGGTACATATATACACACACAAACAAATGCAAGCACAACATATGGGGTGAAAAGAAGTAGAAGGTAAGAGTAAGAGGTAATTAAGGATGGCAAGCGTTGGTTATGTAATATGTTGTTTATTGAGCATTGTGATAAACTTTGAAAGTTGCCATGTCGAGTACAAGCCGCGGCCTGAGCCTAAGCCTGAGCCAGCGCGAGAGATAAAACATAAAGCGTTGTTTGTGCTTGGTGATTCTCTGTTTGATCCCGGAAATGCTGATTACGCAAATGCAGGTTTTCCACTAGCTTCTCTTTATTGGCCTTATGGCGAAACTTTTTTCCATAATGCAACCGGTAGATTCTCTGACGGACGTATTCCTCCAGACTTCATCGGTAACTTCTTCAAATTTTTATAACACTCATGACTTTTCATGTTATCTTATTATTGATAGAGATTGAAGAGTGCGTATTTGTGGGACCCAGCTTCATATGCAGGCTTGCCTATCCTTCCACCATATCTGGAACCAAAACGCCATGTGTTCACTGATGGAGCTAACTTTGCTACTAGTGGGTCCTGTATTCTTTTTGGCACAACCGAATTTGTATGTTCAGTTCCCAGCTAGCTAGATTAAGAGTTCGAATCTTGAGTTTCCAATTCAACAAGAAAGAAAATGACGACCTTGCTTTCTAAAATTTCTGCAGAATGATCTTCCAATCCAGCTGCAATTTTTCAAGCAAGTGATAAAGATATTAAAAGGGCAAGTTGGCGATGCTGAAGCCAAGAGGGACGTGACCGATGCCGTCTACTTAATCAGTGATGGTGGTAACGATTATATGAAGTTTTACTACTTCCACTCTGATGCTAATAAAGACAGCATGAGCGATTTTGTCAAACTGGTGATCGACCACCTGCATGAATATCTCCTTGTATGACTTACCTTGTACTTGTTCTCTACTCTTTTTTTTTTTGATTCAATTAAGTTACATGTCTCCAAGTTATTATAACTTAATTGGTATTTGTTATTGCAGGAATTAACAAGTTTAGGAGCCAGGAAGATTTTATATCAAAACGTAGGGCCCATAGGCTGCAATCCATCAGAAAGATTATCAGATGGACAGTGTAATGAGAAGGAAAATTCAATGGCGAGAGCACACAACAAAGGCCTGATACGAGTGATGAAGCAAATAGAGAGAGGTGGCTGGTTTCAAATATGGAATATTTGATTTGCATACAGCAATGGAAGACAGAATTTTCAACCCTCATAAATATGGTAATTAATCCTCTAACTTGAGATTTTTTTTTATTGCGCACAATCATTTTCCTATTAGAGGCAATTTTGTTCAAAACACATGATTGGGTATTAAATATGAGCACATCTCTTAATAAAAATTTAAACATTGGTTCATCACGTTGTGAGAAATTAGTCTATTCTATTAGACTAAATCTAAGTTGGTTAACTTGAGTTCTCCTAGTTAAGGCTACTGATATCCCTATCCACAGTTCACACACACACATGTTATATATGAAGAATATATACATATACATGTCATAAATATGGTTCATTATGTTTACATGCGTGAAATTTTTACATTTCTCTCTAGCGTAACAACTACTGAGTATTCAGACCAAAGAAAAAACAAGTTATATGATGCAAATATGAATGACTTATCCATAAAATTTTGGTATTATCAAAATTAAAGGAGTGATATTCTTGTGACTTGTAATTGAGATATTTATCGCAAAGTTCATAGACTAAGAGTGTATCAATCATAATATCTCAAAAAATATTTAGCATCTCAATACAGTTTTTGACCAGCATAGCATCTCAATTCACTGAACTATAATTAATAACCTTCATTATTTTCGCTTGTTCCACGCCTCCCCCGTGCAAAACACCACTTCCTCTAGAAATCATGTGGGCTCCACGCTTTTTTAATATATTTTCTTTAATTTTTTACTTTTTTAAAATATTATCACCTTTCACCCGAACTATTATAGACCTGAATTGTGTGAGATTATTTTTACCAGCGAAAAACTTATAGGTATCTTGAAAATGTTTTAAATATGTTTATTTAACACAACTAATTCAAACCCAAGATCTCAAAATAAGATAATTTAATCCCTCAGCCAACTAAACAAAAAGTGTGTAGGTAGAGTTTATAATATTTCTCCCAACTTTCCGTTTTTGGACTAGTTCTTTCTTCTTATTTTTTTCTTCTTCTTCTTTTCATTTATTATTCACAATATCTATCTGTAAGTTGAAATATGATGAACCATAAAATTTGGGGTATTATCAAAATTAAAGGAGTGATATTCTTTTTTTTTTTTTAAATGACCAAAGGAAAAGCTAAAAAGAGAAACCCAAACTTAACCAGGTTCGACTTCCCTCATTAATCTCGCGAACAATGGCTTTGAATCCTGGACGGAGAGAATCAGTTGAGTGAAGGAAAAGCCGCTCATTTCTGCGTTCCCACAAGATCCAACAGACGACGCCAAAAAGTTCATTCCATTTTCCTTCCTCTCTCCCACTCTCGTTGCTAAGATTGGGGTTAATCCCACCTCATCCTACCTCCTTTGCCCATTTACAATCAAAATATAAGACAAAAAACAAATTTTTTTTATTGTTGTGAAAAAACCAAAATATAAGAAAAAATTATAAGACAAACAACGGCTGAATAATGGAGATGAAGAATACAAAAGAGACTTGATGAGTAAATGAGAAATGACTCACATTCACTTAGGTATGTGAAATACAAAGCAAGTAGCTTTTATTTATAAGCCTCCAACTATATCTAAGAGTTTCATTGGAATAAATGATAACATTTGAATATATAGTATGTAGCCATTGAGTTTTTGGATATCAAACATAATTAAGAAAAATAGCTAAAAACCATTTATCAAAGAGGTTATGGAGTACGGCATATCAAAATTTTGGGAGAAGTTATGGACATATAAATAACACTCCTCTTTAACTATCCATAACAAATACTATGCCTCGTTAAAATTTATTAGAAAAAACCTGATTAGACAAAATCCTAATAAATGAAAAGGAGTATACTACATATTAAAGTTGTCTCATTAAAAACTTTATTAGAAAAATCCATTAAAACAAAACCTTTATTAAGAAAATGATGACAACATCACTCCAGTTAATATATCTCAATAGAGTATTGTTATTTCTTTCTAAATATATTAACAAAAGATATAAACATATATGCGTATACATGATTTGTTTCAAGCTTTTTTTAAAAAAATGTGGAGTTAACTGTTTAGATTGACATTATATAGAGAGGAAAAAGGTACATATCATACTCTTACCCAAGTTTCGCATGCTCTACATACATAGAGTAAAATATATATTGAACTCTCCTCTATTTAATCTAAATTTTTTTAAAAAAAAAACTTCATTCTATTTTCAAAACCTGTACAAATTCTCACTTAAAATCAAAATATGTTACACAAACCTCCCTTCTAATTTTAAAATTCTACTTTCATCCATCCAACGGTTAGTTGAACATTAAATCATAGTGTTGACATTTAGTTTTGACCAAAATGCCCCCTCTTTAGCATAAATATTACTTAACAACCATTTAAACACTTATCTTTATCCAAAAAATAATTTTAATATACACATTTCACATTTTTACATTATTAAATTCATTAATTTTTATTATATTATAATTCTGATTAATTAGTTTTATGATTCAAAATTTTTATTGTTCCAATAATATTAATTATTTAGACTTATTTATTTAATAATATGTTAAATATGTACAGCAGCTAAAAATTCATAATTTTGAGTATATAAAATGTCATAATTTTGAACATGCACATATATAAATATTCAATTATTTTATAAAATAATAAAATGTCATAATTTTGAGTATATGATATTAATATGTCAATTTTATAACTTAAAATGTTTAAAGGTATTTCATTATATGTGTATTTGTTAAAAAAATACTCAAATTTTTTATCAACTTGTTGTTTTTTAGGCAAGAAATTGACTAATTTTTTAAATTTATTAAAAATATTAAATAAATAACTAGTTAATATTAAATAAATTGTCGAAAGATAAATTAGAGATTTGGTATGAAGGGTAAATTAGTAAATAAGATTTATCCAAATATTATTTTCAATAAAAATAGATTCTTAGAATCTTTTAGAATATTAGTTATCGGTGTTAATAGTTTGGACTAAAATGTATTCAAAATATATGAAAGGTCTAGATAACTAAGGTAAAACAGAAGGTTGGTTAGAGTATTTCACTCACACTGTCACATACACACAAAATTATTAAACTCTTGTGGGTTTATGATTCGAGTTTACTTCTATTAACAAATGGTCATTAAAATATAATTGTAATTTAATTTAAATATATTAAAAATATTAATTATTGAAATTAAACTCATCTATATTAATAAATTATCATATACAAGATATAAAAATTTTAAAATAGGGGAACTTATTTTTGATATTTTTGATTTTCTTTTTTATTAATATTAATTTTTGCATTTCAAGTTTTTTCTTTTTTGAACTAAGTCTTATAACTTTTATGAACTTAATTTTTTATAGTATATACTTAACTTGCTCAACTTAAAAAAAAAAAATTGACGAGTTTAACAAGTTTAACTAAGCTTACATCTAATTTAAATTTATAAATTAGTTGACACAATTTTATAAATTAAAAACATAAAAACGATAAACTCAGAGATAAACTTGCAAGTTTAACTGAGTTTATATCTAGTTTGAGTTTATAAGTGAGTTTACACGATTTTGTAAGCTGAAAATATAAAAATGTTAAACTCGTAGAGTCAACTTGAGAGTTTGACAACTATGCACACACATATATTTGTTTAGTGTGTAGAGTTTGGAGAAAAACATGTGATTGTAAATCAAGAGTTTTAAAACTTCATGCATTTTATTTGTTAAAATCTAAATGTATTGTTAATCAACTCAAACGGACTATTGTCAAAATTTAAATAAATACTTGTTGATGAAGGACTAACACTTGTATAATTAAGCTCTCATGCATTGTGAATTTCCAATCCCTATTGTTAACTAATTTAAAAATTATAAAAATTAATTTCAAAAAGTACAGAAAAGAATTAAAAAATTACAGAAAATCAACCTCTAAGACAATTAATAGCTTTTCTTGAGACAGGCCGTATCAATAATTGAAGCAAACTTGATGAACTAAAATTTCATTATCCCTAATTATAATTTAGAACAATATTTAGAAGGCAGACTAGCTAGCTTCTAAAAAATTTTTTTTTTTTTAATGAGATACTATCTATGATTTTATATTCAAAACTATCACATTTTGGAAACCATATCATTTCTATATATTAAAGTTACCTTGCACATTTCAAGTTGAGATGCTTATTATTCTGCAGGGAACAAGCGGCGCATCTCTCGATGATAAGAAACCTCATCAGTATCACTGTAATAAAGTTACTGAATTTTTCGTCTGGTAGATGTGCAGGAAATCAAAAGTTACAGTTCAATGTGGTCCCATGCACAACGAATTTCCTACCCAGCACAACGTCCAATAACCTTGTTTCACGATCATTTCTAACCTTCTTCGGCCGAAAAAGGATCATTTCTACCCTTCAAAAATTGACTTTCAAGTATTTTTTTCGTACAGAGACACGCACATTGAAGGGGAAAAAAAGTACTGAAGAAGAGGAGGAGGTGGAAAACGAGATATGGCAAGCGTTGCTTACGTGTTGTGTTCCGTACTCAGCGTTTTATTGAACTTGGAGAGTTGCATTGTTGAGTACAAGCAGCAGCAGCATCCATTAATACAATTGAATGAGCGTAAAGCCTTGTTTGTCTTCGGCGATTCTCTGTTTGATCCTGGAAATGATGTTTACGTCAAAACTGATCTGAAACTGACTTCAATTTATTGGCCTTACGGGGAAACCTTCTTCCACCATGCCACCGGCAGATTCTCCGACGGCCGCATCGTCCCTGACTTCATCGGTAGCTTTCAATCTCTCGCCTTTTCACATATATTGTTGCCTCTTCAAACTTTAACTATGTCTATTTACGAAATTTTTAGTGGCTCAAAATTTATATCAATTATAAATTTTGTCCTTCGAGTTTACGTTTTATTGATTTGATTCGTTAACTTTGCCTGATTATCAGTCATTATTTTTTGAAGAGTAGGTAATTAACATTAATATATGTTAATTAAAATATACTAAGATTGATAATATAATATAGATAACGGTTACATAGATTAATAAAAAATATAATTATTTATATAAAAATGGACTTTGAAATTTTAAAAACAAAAAAAAAATGAAACGTAAGGGGTTG